CAAAACCCCCAGCCCTAAGCCCCAAACCCTAAGCCCTAAACCCGAAGCCCTAAACCCCAAACGCTAAGCCCTAAACCCTAAACCCTAAACGAAACCCTAAACCCTAAACCCTAAGGCCCTAAGGACGAAGCATCCGCGCTCTCCAAGGTCCGAAGTAAGCTCCGATACATCACCATCAACCGGCTCACAGAGGTCGGGTTTAGGGTTTAGGGTTTAGGGTGTAGAGTTTAGGGTTTAGGGTTTAGGGTTTAGGGTTTAGGGTTTAGGATTTAGGGTTTAGGGTTTCAGGTCCTCAGGTCGCTCTGATGGTGTGCTTTTCTTTGAAGGGAAGTCAACGGCAAGAGGTAGTTGGATCCTACTGTATGGGTAGTTTTCTAAATTAGGGTCCCTTTGGGGGTCCATGTTAGGGTGCCGTACTATATTGGGGACCCAAAATGGGACCCTAATTTAGAGAACTACCCATATCCTACTAGTTTGGGCTTCTTATTACTAGTATCTAAAGTGATTTGATTGGGGTTTTTATTGCAAGACCTTCAGAATGGGGCTTCATAGGAACGCCTGGTGGCGTGGAGTAAAGTCTAGGGGCTTTTGTCCACAAGACGCTTATGCAGCATGATAGTTGCCGCAGTATATGTACTTGATTCTTGATCGTTTAGTAAAGATCACTGCCGGTACGGAAAGCTGCTTTGGAGTATTCTCGGTATTGCTTTTCAGAGTTTCGGATTTGGATTACAGGAAGGAGGGGTGTTGGGCCGCACCGATCCGATTATACGCTACGCTCAGTGGTAGTTTGAGCAAGGCCTGAATGGGCATACATATTTGGACATCGGAACCACACATGAAGAGGTGGTTTGCAAAGCCCTCAAACCTAAGCCGACGTTCAGGTTAATATGGGCTTTAAGAATGACCAACACTATTGAGGGGGTTCCTTATTATAAATATAGTATAATGAGCCCCGACACCCCATTTTAATTATTTAGGCCTCAATGTTACCTGCCGACTTTGAGGGTTTAGGGTTTAGGGTTACTTCTGCCCGGGCTCAGGGGCGCTCGACTTAGGGTTCTTATGGTCCAAGGTTTCAGGGCTTCGGGCCTTTGGTGGCTGAGTTCAGGTGGGCCAGGAGTGTACAAGGGGAGTTCTGCATAACGAGAATCGCATCCCCTTGCTGCCCTCTTGAGTCACAAATTGTTATAACTTACGGCTGATGATTTAAATCCTGCATTACCCATCATGAGGAATATACGGTATATTATATACCACAATTCCCACAGTGAAGTCAGCAACAGTATGACCATTACGTCAGGCCGCTTTTTGCATCTACTTCTCCCTAGGGAGGTCAAGTACCCATGTACCAGGCTAGTGGTTCTTAAGCCTGCCAAGCCCAGAACCTACTGTGCAGATTTCTGGGTTCCCAGCGTCTGCCTTACACCAGACTGCTGGGAGGAACCAAAAAGAGGAGGTTCAAACAAAGTACCCTGTAGTAGTGTAGGGCCCCAAATTCGAGGGTCTACTTTTCGTATCCTCCCTAGGAGTGGGGCTTTGACCTCAGATCTTTCTGGGGCTCCTTATTATAATTATAGTATAACGGGCCCCAAAACCTATTCTAATTGTTAAGGCCCCAATATGAGGGGTCGGACTAACCGATTATCAATAGCGCATAACATACCCCCCAAACCCTATTCTCATCATTAATGCCCCTAAACTACGCAACTCCACACCCGAAGACAAGTTGAGGCAAGAGCTATACAACATCTTACAACATTGAATCCCTAAACCCTAAACCCTAAAACCCCAAAGCCCGAAACCCTAAAGCCTAAAACCCTAAATCCGCGTAAACCCACCGTAAACAACCCTAAACCCTGAACTCAAGCCCTTCTAAAGCCCAAGACCCCGAACCCTGAAACCCTGGTCGGGGTTGGGGAATGAAGGTTTGATCTGAGTTTACAAAGCAAGTTGAGGGCCGACATTTAGTTGACAAGCAGGGTTCAGGGGGGTTTAGGGTTTAGGGTTTAGGGACACTTTAGGATGTGGGCTTCCAGGTTTATGTCGTAAGGTAGAGGAGGAAGACATGATGTTTTCCCAAAGGTCTGGAGGAGGCTTTGGGTGATAGTGGGTTCCCAGAGACGCCCAGAGCACCTTCATTGAGGAATATGTTCTCTGGCAAGTACCCTTGATAGAGGGATCTTTCTTTCATATTCAGGACGCCATGGAGTCACTACCTCAAGGGGCAAACGGGCCCCAAACGCGTATTTGTTCATATTCCAGTCAGGTTTTGTAATGTAATATGTGAGGCTTAACTTGTTTGGCGCTTACGTTTGAGGCAGAGTATTGTTTTTCGGAGGTGCTGCGCCCAACAGACCCTGCCATCATCCACTTCGAGTTCGTCACAGCAGCTCGGCCTCAAGTGAAAACGCCTGCACAATCCCAATATAGGATCCGACTAAGCATCCTTCTACACGGTTTAGGGTTTAATGTAGGGGCCTATATAATTACTTATTCTGTTCTGGGGGTTCCTTATTACATTTATAGTATGATGGGCCCCAAAACCCTATTCTAATGATTAAGGCCGTTAAGGCCCCTACATTACACGGTTTAGGGTTTAGGGTTGATAAATGTCACGTCGCTCCAAGCCCTGCTCGAATCATCAAGATGGCCCTACTTAAAGGACCATGGGATTTAGTAAGTAGGGTTATAACTAAGGTAACTATACTTATAACCCCAATTAGGGGACTTATAACCTTACTTACTAAGTCCCACGATCCTACAAGTAGTCACTATATCCCGAGTGGGTTTAGGGTTTAGGGTTCAGGGTTTAGGGTCGGGGTGATCACAAGGAATCAGTTTTTGAAGTGGATTGTTGCTGAATGCTTTATTGGCGACGGACCTACGGGCCTATGCACCTCTAAGCCAAACCCTAAACCCGACAGCTACGGCCATCTGAACCCCCATCTCTCAGCCGCACCTGAAACTACGCTTTTAGGGCTTAGGGCTTAGGGCTTTGGGTTTTGGTTCAGGGTTTAGGGTCTGACAGCAGAACTCCAGATGCTTGCTGCCGAGCTGGCGAGCTTCAGCCCACAAGCACATAAAGCACCAAGAAAACCAAAGCCACGGTCTCGAAACTCTGAACCAAGCCTTAGGAATCGATTTTTGAGCGGCCTGAAATGGTTGTTCTCCAGGGTGCCAGAGGTCGCGATCTAGACGTTTAGGTCATAGAATGTAGGGCTTATGGCCTTGTGGAATCCGTATAAACCCAGCCTTAAACCCCTAGAGGTCAATCCAGCAGACTCGATGGAAATCCAAGCCGCCTTCCCAATTGGGTTCGACTTCACGAACGTCTACCTCAATTCCATCGGCGGGAGCCTCAGACTTCGAAATGACATCATAGGGTTTAGGGTTTTAGGGTTTGGGGTTTAGGGTTTAGGGCAGTCGGTGGTGAGCGGCCAGGGATCTTGGTAGATGAGTTGTTTTTGTGCGCCATCACAAGATGGAAAAGATCTACGTTAGCTGACCGCAACTAGTGTGCTCATGAAGCATGTTCCCATTAATGCGATCACCCGACATAGACTACATAAATCCTTCGTAATATTGAACTCAACTTAAGAGGTCTGATCCTCTCAGTAAGTCGCACCATTGAGCCCTACTCGATCAACTCGGATGTGCTTGCATGTCCAGCGAGAGTATTCTGAATAGTATCGCGGAAATCTCCACGACCATTATCATCAGCATGCATCATTATTACAATGACAATTCGCACGGCCACTACCATCAACCCTAAACACTACACCCTAAACATCAGCATCGGACCCAACAAGACCATGACCTCTAATCGGTCGCCATCACCGTCGTCCATCGTTTTGCCGTCCTCGCAAACACATGTCCACCATGATTATCAAGAGGGTTCTGCCGTCATCGCGGCCCGCATACTCTTTGATTTGTCATCGCTGTCGTTATCATAACCTTCGCCCTCAGTGTCCTCGGCGCCGTCGGCATCATTTTTTCATCGCCACCACCACCATTACCATCATCATCCTCACCATCACCACCATCATCATCGTCAGAATCATCATCGTAACCATCATCATCATCATCATCATCATCATCATCATCATCCTCGTCACCGTGATAAACACCATCGTGCTTGTGAGCGCTTCAGGAAGGGCTATGTGTCCGACGATTGGAAAGTTAACGATTTTCTCTCGCTGCTCGATTGCGATCCCGATTCAGGCACAGATGATGGCAACAAGCCGCCTAATGCCGGGCGCTCAGTTCAGATTCGGGTTCCCGGTTGAAGGCAATGCTTGCAGCGGGTGTTCTGCGATCCAGAAGCCTTGCGTATCGTGTGGGCAGCTGCCGAACTCCGAAGTAGGATCTTTGATGATGCGCTGAAGTCCTTGACACGTTACCTGCACAAGCTTGCATTAAGTATGCGAGTTAACGGACATTCTGATGTTAGATGCTTCGTTGATTCTTTGCTGTGCGGGCCAGCAGCCGAACTCCTTGCCAGCCAGCTTGGCTGTTTGGGAGCAGGTTGCTCCTTTGTTTTAGCCCAGTTGATAGGGTTTCTTTCTACAGGGGGTATGGGGTTTAAAGGAAAATCGGAACCTCAATTAGGGATCTGGCGCTTGTATATAGGGCTTCCGAGAACGACTTTGGCGAGCGTGTAGAGTTTTGGTTGCTATCACCGGAAGTGATACTTGCACGCGTCTACTCTGCATGGATACTCTTCGAAAATTGTTTTGTAGTTACTCAAGAAAACAATGTAACTCTGTGTGTGTGTGTGCATGCGTCTGTGTGTGTGTGCGCGTCTGCTTGTGCACATGTGCGCATGTGTCATTTTTGTGTTTATGATTCATGATATAAGTATGCATCCCAGCTCATCCGATTAAGTGGGTGCAACCAGGGATATCGGCTAGCAGCCTGTGCTACTCGTAGCAAGCGACTGCTTCTGTTAGCATCTTGAGTTGTTCCGAAGAAGATCAGTCTTGCAGCAAAACCCTAAACGCTGAACCCGAAGCTCTTGACCCCAAACCCCTAATCCCCTGAACCCTAAACCCCAAGCCCCAGTATCATGTCTCCCTAAACCCTAAACCCTAAACCCTAAACCCTTCAGCTTCCCTTCGACCCCTTGAGCAATGTCTTGCCGTCCTGAGGGGGGCGCCCCCGGTGGTCCTTACAGCATCATCGCAATCCAAAACTAGGTTCCTTGTGCCCTAAACCCTAAACCCTAAACCCTGGACACTCTTTATCATATGTATTTAAACCCTAACTATTCGTGAGAATTTGGCCACTTTCAATCTTTTCTCACGAATTTGGCCACTTCCATTCTCACGAATTTGGCCCATTTCCACTTTGGCAATTTTCGGCTGGAGTTCTCACGAATTTGGCCACCCCCCTAGCATTCTCACGAATTTGGCCACCTCCA